CATCTCATTCATTTTATAACTCAGAATGCACAAAAGTTATATCATCTGAAGAATTATCTAATCGTTGCCATATGTTCTATTCAAATACCATAATAAATCTAAAACCGTATATAAAAGAAATTAAACAAATAAAAAACTAAACAGTTTTTCACAGACTATTCAGCGCTGCTTACCTAATGCTCATGCGCTACATTCTCTTCTGTCCGAAACAGACTGGCGACAGTACTTTCTGCTGATATGAAACACTTATTTCCTCGCATTTCATTAGATATGTATTTCTCATTCAATTAATTCAATTCTCACTTCGCGGGAAGGCAAAAATAATAAAAACACAAAATATGTTCCTTAAAATTTTAAAGATATAGAAAAACATAAAACATCAAATACAGTTTAAAAAAAATTTTAAAAACAATATTTACAATTAAAATTGCAGTTCTACGCAAAAACAAGCAGTTCGGCTAGCGTACAAGAAAACAGATTTTTCACTGCAAAAAACTTAAAGTTTACTTTTGGTTTCACTCAACAAAAAGACACCGAAGGCGTGGACGTTATGCTGAGTCAATATGTGGGATAAGTTAATAATTTAAATGCTAATTCCAGAATGGATTAAGCATAATTTAATTCACAATAATAAAAGAAGACGTTACTTTGTTGCTGCGAAGTTAGTTTCCCTAGATTAGCAACAAATCCACTTCTAAGTTTCAAATATAATTAAATACGGCTGCTATGGCAAAAAATTAGGCTTAGCCGCACTTAAACAACTTTTAAATTGTTGATTATTCTAAAACTATAGCATGCAGGTTAACCAAACGCATAAGAACTTAACCAAAAGATAAGAACAACATAATTCAATCATTTTTAAAGCAAAAAATGCACAATTTACAAACATATAAGAATATAGAAACTGAGTTCACTGAACCAAGTAACAGAGTGGATATATATATATATACTTTTGGTGCGATCGATTGACAACTAAAATAGGAGGTGCACATCTGCATGTTATAGCAGTTCTATATACAAAATTTCAACTTTCTGGGGCTATTCGTTTTTGAGTTATGCGAGATACGTATATACATACGTACGGTACGTACAGACGCCATTAAAATGTTTTCAGGATCCATTTAAACCAGTTTTATATTTTTTTTTGGGGTGGGGGAAGAGTCCTTTATTCTGTCCTTAAATACAAATGTCACGCAAAAACATCGTTAAATTGCATTCGATAACGGTCAAAGTGGGTATTTTCGTTGAAATATCCGAAATTTTTTGCGATTACAATACTTTCCTTTTTACTTCGTACATGGAAGTAAAAACTAAATAGTTAAAATGCTTATTTAGTCTTTCTTACTTATTTGTTGTTCGTATCTTCTTTACGAGGCAGTGTTATTTTCACACTTAACATTCCATTACAAGATCTGCTTATTTCGGTCCCTGTCTTTACATTTTTGCTGGATATTTTAAAATCACCTTATATAAATTTAAAAGATTGAAAGATTAATTTATTAATCATAAACCCAACACGCAAGTTTTATTCGTTATTAACACTGAATTTTAATTAGAATGTTAATAAATTGTTAATAAATATTTAAACGTTTTATAAAAAGAAACTTGTAGAAATAAGAAACGAGTTTAATGTTAGTTTATTCTAGTTCTTAACTCAGAAAAACTAAACATATATATTTAGTAACATAAGTTGATAGATAGTGTCCGGGAAGGTCCCAGTACCCTTAGGATTGAGTATCACAGAGGAAAATGTCAATGCAATTTTAGTTGTGGTATTGTTAACGTATTGGCAAGACGAGGGAATCATAGATGCGTGGATACAGTAGAACGGGGCTACATCCATTTCAGGAGTGCGATTTCATTAATAAACAATTTCCAGACAACACGCCTTGACGTGGTTCTGCAATATTTCCAACTTTTCGAAAGGGGTCTTCTCCACGTAATCCCCTTTCGAAAAATAACCCTTCAGATCCTCCGCAATATATCAAAGAGAACATGGAAGAGTATACATCTCTGTGTATACCATAATGTAGCATATACAGATCCACTCGAAATACGGCCATGCTCTCTGGATACTCAAACCAGGGGTATGGAAACTTCTCTCACACAGATACACATAGTTTTAGTGACTGTATCTTAAATTTGCTTTACAATAAAAGGAAAAACATCGTTTGCAACTGTCCTTGGTGGATTTTCTTTTAATATTAAAAGTTTTACCTCTGCAGCATTGAAAACATTCCTTTTTTTTTTACTTGGATACGTATTTGGAACAATTTTTTCACATATAACCGAACTTTGATGTTTTTTTTTCCTTTCTTGTTGACAATATTACCTAGCATAGCTTTAGATATCGAAACACCATGGCTTTCAGAGCGTTTTTTAATAACTAGATACGAATAATTTTCGTTAGAAAAAGCACAAATACATCCATTGTATCTTTAAAAGCGCCATTTTGTATGTAAACAAAACTGTCTAGTAGCAGACGATTATTTATACTTTCAAAGAAATATAGCTGAAGTTAAAAAAGAGGATTTCCAAGCAGACGATTTTTTATAGCAAAGCCAAAATCGTTTAAAAATGTGCAGACAAACTTCTGTATATCATGATGATCTTTTTAAATAAATTATTTTAACAGTAAAATTTCTTAAAGGGTAAAATAAATATGTTACCAAAGGTCAAATTTTGCATAAAAGCTGCAATGAATTGAATGGAGGGAGAGCTATTTTCATTTGAATTCATTTTAACTTGAAGAGTTTTCAGTTTAGGAACCATGTGAATTATCATTATCAGAAGAACTTATCAGTTTGTTTTTCACTTGATTTTAACTTGAAGAAGATAGTATGATATCTTATATATATTTCGATGCATAAAAAATATGACAATCTTTGTAAAACTTATATGGGAAAAAATAGAAGCTTTCAATAAAAGCTTTAAATATACATTTTTTCGGCAACATGTTACCACCTGTAGCTCACAATTATATATTTAGGTATATTTTCATTAAATTCAGGGCTGGCGCTATGCTTTTTGCTGCTCGCAGCGGTCCTAATTACACTGTCTGCTAAAGACAGTCACTACATATTTATATCGCACTCGTATTAAGTCAAAAACTTAATTTAGTGAACATAATGGAAAATGTAAAAATTTCAGTTTACTAATAAGCAGTAGGGAGGAGGGCGGCGACAAGTTTCCTCTTTGGTGGAAGAATAGTTTAAGTGAGGGAGTTTTGAAGTTCAATAAATCTGATAAGAAGGGCTGAACACCATACTTATTCACATACACCCCTTTTTTTTACTAATCTTTCTGCTTGAAAACATGAAGGAGAATACGTAATATAAATAATTGTTGTGTGTGTGAGAGTGTGTGTGAATATGGCAAAGCCTCGAGGGCTATCTGCCTAAGAGGAGGGATGCCTTCGTGGAGGACTTTCTAAGGGAAACTGGCTCGTATACACGTTACACATGGGGGAAACCACGAAAACGCCCATGCAGCCAGCCCGTTCGCGGGATTCGAACCTCGGACCGAACTACCAGTGTTCACCGCTCGGCCGCTGCTGGGCCCTAAATAATTGTTGAAGAGACGGCTTAAGTGAGAAATACAGCGCACTAAAAAGCACACATAAAGACACACTAATGTTATTATATTATGCATTCCAAAGAACTTATCAAATTCAAAAATAGTACTTTTCTTACAGAAATACTTTCCTCTTTGTGCATACATTTTATATTGTTACCATAAATCAGAAATTTCTAAATCATATGCTGAAAAATCTAGGGAGAAAAGTGCGTGAGGGGAAAAATTTACTGCGGTATTTATTAATATGCAGTGGAACCTCGAGATACGAGTTTAATTCGTTCCAGCATTGAACTTGTATATCGAATTTCTCGTATCTAGAAACAAATTTCCCTATTGGAAATAATGAAAATCCAGTTAATCCGTTCCGCACCCCCAAAAATATTAAATCAATTTTTCTAATAAATAACACTGGTAAATAATATAACCGTAGTTTACCTTTATGATAGCTTTCGAGACTGACCTTAATTTCTTCTCGTTAATCGACATCAACAACAGCTTCTAGGAGTTTTGGACGGTGGGGTAGCTCTTTTGCCTACATCAGGTTTCTTAATTTCTTCCTTCTTCAGAATAGCGCAAATTGTCGATGTCGAAAGGCCGTAAGTCTTCACCAATTCCGTCACTTTTAAGGCCCGTTCATACTTGATACTCAACGACGCTATCGGAGGTAAACCGGCGCATGAAACACGGCTCTACCAAATCTAGACATCCGTTTTAGCAACTGCGATGTCACATGCTAAGAGGCTTCAAGCACATTTGTCTGCAAAGCATTATTGCCCAAGTACCACTTCTTCCTGACATAATTTTACGACCTTCTTACAGGGCATTATCGGGTGTAGTAAGGTCAGGACATCAAGGCAGTCAAGGATAAGGAGCTGGTGAATCCAAAACACTTTCCAGGCTAAAAGCTTTCTTCTCCCACGTGATCAAAATCTGACAATTTGGTGGCTCGTCAACGAGGCCGTTCACGAAATCTATCCATCCCCTGTATCATATTTTCGTTATTGTGCTTCTGTTCATTTTCCCATGTATAACGTGTATACGAATCAGTTTCCCTTAAAAAGGTCTTCCACGAGGCCATCCCTCCCCTTAGGCAGATAGCCCTAGTGTGTTTTGCCATAATCTAAAGCAACTGTATTAATGCTTTTCTATTTTAATTCGTCCTTTAAGCTCATAAATTCTCCCACCTTTTTTTTTTTTTTTTTAAATCTTACTAATTCTTTAAAGCAGTTGAAATTGTTTCATGCATTTCTTTGTAGACAAAGGCAATTAGACCAGGAATTTTGAAAAACGGATTTTTTTTTTTTTTTTTTTTTTTTAAAATTTTAGAACATTTGAATACTCTAATAAAATAATGCTTTCATGTTATCTGCAAGCCACATCAGGAACGTGCATTATTTGCAGAAGCATATCTGGCAATAGTAATATACTAGATGTAAACAAATTCACGTTTTACTTCTATGATTTATTTTAATGTAAAAGAAAATCGTATATATAGCTAGATGGGGAAGAAAATTCCTAAAAGCAGACGGCATAAAAAATTGAAGTTTGTTGATCCTTGCTACAGCGGCCCACCTCCACGCAGAAGAAGAAAGTACGAATATTTTTATTGCTATGTGAAAAACAAGTATTCTGTGTGTCAGATAGCTGTGTGTAATAATAATGCATGTTTTAGGGGCTAAATTCTGCTGGTGCACGACTTGCGTATTTCTTAGTTTTTGAGTAAAATCAATTTCAATTGGAGTCTCGAATAAAATGGGCTGCGGTATTTAAATTTATTACATGACTATTTTTCACCAATTTTGTGTATTTATTTCTTTTTGTTATTTTATCATTATTTATTTAATATTTTTTTTACCTTTCTTAACGGCTTTTCGTAGGTCTTTGACATTTTAATATAAGAAATTAAATCGTGAGTACAAATATTTCCAGGAACAGAATGTATGATTATGATCATTGGAATATGGCAAAGCTTACAAAGGCTATCTGTCTTTGCGAATTCTAACACATCATTTTAAATTTAGGTGTTAAGTTCTATTATATCCTAGTGAGTTAACATTTTCAAAGTAATCATTGGTGATAAAAATTGCAGTTCTTGTGTTTCATAAGTTTATGGAAATCATGAAGTCTGAACATGATTTGCATGCAAATGAACATTAAATGATTTATTATAAAATGAATGCGATTAAACACTTGTTAGGGCTAATCTTTGGAATATGGTAACAGGTAGTTTGGCGACATTTTGGTAAGGCGATAAAGGTTACTAGCTAGGACTTTAGCATAACATGGATAAATCGATGTGCGCAATGCATTTTTGTGCAATTCTGGGATTTTTTTTAAGTGAAAATAGGTTGACGTCTACATGGATAACCGTGTATGTGCAATTCTTAAAAACGCGGCAAATGGGCGATTCTGCACTTTCCCCAATTTCGCACCTAATCTTCATCATGATTAAGCACTTTTGTCCAACAAAGTTCTTGCATAAGCGTAATTCGGCTAGCAGATTGTTGGAAAAAAAAGTGTTGAGTAAAAAAAGAAAACATGCATTTACTTCGTGAAAACAAAATGGCATTCAAAAAAGAACTAGCAGGTTGCTGTAGCAGGTTGGTCCCAAAATCGCCAATTACCAAACCAAGATTAACCCTTGTTAGAATATTTTGATTATTGCTTAATTTATTTATTGATTAATATGTTTATAAATTAATGTGTTTTAGAGAACACATTACATTTTGTGGTTTAATCCTAGTATCTGGTGCACATGGGAATTGGCTGCTTTTGGCGACTTTATGAGGAGCGGTGAAAACGGAACATAAACGATGAGTTGTGAACGAGTCATTCAAAGAATATATATAGTTATATATAGTATATATTATGTATATACACACATAGTATATAGACGTTCTTTGGATCATTTTTGGTGTTGGCGATAATTTTCAAAATCGCGCCACCGTATACTAGGATTTTACCCATTTTGCATACAAATGTAGCTTTTGGTAATGTATTTATCATTTTGTTTTTAATCTGAAAGTAAATGTCAGTATAGTCAAAGTAAATTCACATCAAGAGCGTCTTTGTTTATATTTAGCTATACTGAACATAAATTATAAAAAATGTATGTTTTGTACATGGTACAACTGTAAAAAGTATTTTAAATTAATAAAAATGAATGAAATTTATTAATATAATAACTAGAAATACTGAAGGTATTACATTTTTATGCTTCATCTCATATGAAGTTATTTTTTATGCTGGGAGTGTCCTTGTTAGTATGAATATTTAAATCTGGATTGCTTTGAAGTCAGAGTAAGGTTATTATTTTTTATGTATTTTGTTATTTTGGAATTAAATAGCAGCTTTATTATGTATTCATAGAATATCCTAATATAGATATTCATAGAATATCCTAATATATCACAATGAAAATATTGATTACAAAGGCAGTGGTCTTTGTGTGTGAAGTTTTTTTTTTAATTTAATTTTTTTGTAAATTATAGTTGATATATAGTTATTGCATTTCAATACAGGGTTGATCTTTACAATATGGTAACTGGTAGTTTGGCGACATTTTGGAGGCGATAAAGGTTACTACCTGGCACTTTGATATAATGGAGCAGTACTCAGTTCGATTACGCATTATTTTGTGTGAGGGAAATGAGAGATCATGGGATATGTCATGTGATATAATGGACGAATTACGTTCTTTAATCGGAAAAGGGGGGAAATCGGAAAAAAAATCTGGAAATTTTGTATGTGGCTTTATCTGTGTTGTGTGAAACAGTGTTCGTGAATTTTTGGATCCCATGGCCGTAACTAAAGTGAATTCGGAATGGGTATTATGTATGTATTAATTTAATGTATGTGCTCATTTATATTTAAGTAGTGTTTTTGAATTTAATTATATTTTAATTAAATATAGTTATTTTGTGAATTTTATGTTTGTAGGAATTTGGTATCCGTTTTAGTTGAAGTAAACGTGCATGGAAATAATTTAAATCTGACAATACGTATTGGTAATGGTTCCGGTATGAATTCGTTGGTGACGTGTTATAATGTAATAGATGATTTAGAGGTAGGTAACAGTTTTTGGATATTTTATTATTTTATATGTGGAAATGTTCATTACTTTTTCGCGATCAGGTAATTTCATATATGTTCTTTTTACCGGGTTTAAAGATTGAGAAAATTGTCATGTATTTTCGTGAAATTTTTCTAATTTATGAGAAAAAAGCAGTGTACATGGATATAGTGAAGAGTGTGCGCAATGCCATTTTTGTGCAATTCTGGGATGTTTTTTTAAGTAAAAATAAGTCGGCGTGTACATGGTTTAGTGATATTTTAATTAAATGATAGTTATTTTGTGAATTTTATGTTTGTAGGAATTTGGTATACGTTTAAGTTGAAGTAAGTAAACGTGCATGGAAATAATTTAAATATTTGATACTAAGTATTTGTAATGTTTGCGGTATGAATTCGTTGGTGACTTTTATCATGTAATAGATGATTTAGAGGTAAGAGTTTTTGGATATTTTATTTCTTTATATGTGGAATGTTCATATTTGGAAAGGGTAAATACTTTTCGCGATCAGGTAATTTCATATATGTTCTTTTTACCGGGTATAAAGATTGAGAAAATTGTCATGTATTTTCGTGAAATTTTTCTAATTTATGAGAAAAAAGCAGTGTACATGGATATAGTGAAGAGTGTGCGCAATGCCATTTTTGTGGCAATTCTGGGATTGTTTTTTAAGTAAAATAAGTCGGCGTGTACATGGTTTATGTGTATGTGTTATTTTGAAAAACGCGTAAGGAGTATGGTATTGTGCACTTTTTCCCAATTTTGCAGTGAATATTTGTCATGATTAAGCAGTTTTGTTAGATAAAATTTCTAGCATAAGTGTAATTCGGCTAGTAGATTGTTGGAAGAAGTGTTCAGTAGATAAAAAGAAAAGAAACATGTCTTTACTTCGTGAAGACAAAATGACGGCGGGAAAAAAAAAAATAGAGGGTTGCTGTAGGAGAGTTGGTCGCCAAATTTTCGCCAAAAAAACGCCAAGTTACCATAATGTAAAGATCAACCCAACACAGTTTTGTTTTAATATTAGTTGCCAATTAGACTAGGCATGTAAGGGCAGTTTATCTTCAGTTCTATTGCAGTTTTGCAAAACTATTTCAAGTGATGTACTTCTGTTGAAGAGACTCGTGCTCCTCTTCCTCTACAACTAAATTCTAAAGCAAAATCTTGGTTTGAATGATTTTAAACACTGTCATGCTACGAAGACTATAGCATAGCTGCCAACTCTTCTGATTTTCCATCAGATCTGGATCAGTAAATATTTCAGTTTTTAATTATTAGCCTCTTCTAATGAAAATATTCTCCTGCGACGAAGAAAATTTATTGAACTTCTAAAACTTCAGTTGTGCGAATTTCATTCGTTCACTCTTACTGATTTTCAGCATAATTTTATTTGATGTGTGTTGTTTTAACCAATTACAAGCATTTGCCAAACTTTTTATGAAGATTCAACTGATATTTAATCAATTAGTAGTTGTATTTAGTTTTGTTTCCTATCAATAAATGGTACTTCACTAAGTTTATTTACACAATGCTGTCTACATTAGTTATTAATTTTTTAATTATGTTTAAAAAGCACTTTGATAAATGAAAACTTTCTCCTCTTTGAGATTCCTCAGTATAAAATTATAAGAAAATTACAAAATGAAATTAGCCAAAGAATATAAAATTTAGAATACATAATTAAATATTAATATGTGTTACTCTAGAATCATATTATAAATTATTCAATGCCCTGAATTATGTATTATAAAGTTTATTTGGATTTTTTTTAAAATGGTAACGAGTAGCAGCATGAAAACCTCGTAGATTTTCTTATTGCAATGTTATAGTCATGAATGTACAAGCCTTATATATTGATGTGACTAATCACACGTGTCTGATATAAGAAGGGCATGAAATTCATTGTGGCAAGAAGGTAAGTTTGGCCCTGTCATTGATGAGAGTCTTGGGCACCGTACAGGTGACACTATGACTTTGCTCAATTCTGCAATCAATTTTGAAGGAGAGCACTTTATGAAAGCAGGTTCATGAGTCTCCCACTCCTCTTCCTCTACTACCAACCTCTTGAGCGGACTTCTGGCTTGCTGCATATTTTGAGAGCTTCCATGCTTTGCAGACACGCAACACTTACAAACATCCATGCCAAGATTCGAACCAGGGCCCTTCATTACAACAGTCAGAGTCACTAACCACTATCCTGAGTGGGCAGTGCAATCCTCATCTGAGATTTGAAACAAAACTCAGTGACATGGAATGATCAAAATATCATATAGAGCAGCTAGTTACCAATGGAACACTTGTGGAAATTTTATGAAGGAAAAGGATTTTCTAAATTCTTTTTTTTTATGCAAGAAAGCATGTGAAATGTTTTCTTGAGTTCTTCATCCTATGTATTCTGCATAGTAACTTTCAAAATTTTGCCATTCCTTCTTACGATATGTACATCAAAATTTTACCATTCCTTCTTACAATATGTACATCTTACACACTCATATGTACTTCGTACAATATATGCTTGC